AAGGATAGCACTGGTGGCAGAATTTTAGAGCAACCACAGAAAAACAACATATTAACTAAGTGGACAGTTTACAGCGAAGACATTTCTTGACTTCTTACCACTGTTTTCTCAGCTGCTATATGTGCTAAAGACAATTTTGAGGTTAGTGTTCTGGTGCAAATTACTGACCTCTGTCATCATTTTAAGTGGGGGAACTTGCACAATCGGTGGCTGACTAAATACTTTTTTGCCCCACTGTATAAATCTCTCTCTAAAACCATCAGTGCATATGCACACACACGCCTACCAATCATAAAGTTAAAACCGACTGCTTAAATATTGCAAAGGTTGTCGCTGACCCGTCATAGGGTAAGTAAGAAAGTAAAGTTTCTTTATATAGCACTGTACAACCATTTACACACAATAAATATCAAAAGAGAACCACAAATAAAGATAAAAACCTAAATAACAAAAGTATGACAAGGTGTCCCTCTGTACCCACGAGTGGAGGTCAGCCCCTATGCCCATCAGGGGAAGAAGTCACCAAAAAGTCACAAGCTACAAGCTTTCGTTGCTTTCTTTAGACAAAGGAAAATATGATGTGAAGTGACACAGTGTAACTGGCTAAAAAAATGGCTAAAAATAATAGTGTAATTATTTACATCACCTGTGGTTTCAATGACATGGCTGATCACTCTACATATGCAGTATAAGCATGGATTCAAGGGAGCACACTGAAACAGAGTGCCTTCCTGTCATAGCTGGTGATTACTGCTCTCCCTGCCAAGCTCTTCCCCTTTTTCCTTACCCAGCAAAAGTGCTGGCTGGCTTTCCCTTAGCATCTTTAATCAATACAGCTTGATCACTAGATTTATTCTGGATTGATTACTTCTGTCTCAAGAAAATTGCCTCTCAACTTTTCTCCAAATGATTCCTCATTGGATGCCTTATTGGTACCAAATAATCATTTCATGCTTGAGTTGAACACAACTGCATTATGTGGATAAAACTGTATGCAGATGGGACAAATCATTTGAATTTCTAGACATTTGTCTTTGTGACTGAGGTTCATTACAGTAAATCGGACTCATTCTTCAGTATTGTCTATATTCATTTCATATTCACGTTTGCCACCTTAATGCCGCTAGCAGAGGCATTGTTTACTGCCAGTGTCTTCTATATTTCTTAAATATGGATGAAAATAGTTTGGTGGCTGCCTGTCCTGAAGAATCACCCTCCACTTTCATCGCATTGTCATATTGGATTTTGTACTCTTTCTCGGATGGATGGCACTTTGACTTCACATCTCCTCAGAGTAAAACTCTTTGCTGCCTCTCTTTTTCATTTTTCAGTTTCTCTCTGCTTCCTATACCAGAGTAATCGAGTGTGCTCTCTAACTAAGCTTGGAATATTCATGTGTCCGTTTCTATCTACAGGTGAAGTACAATATGTATGAAAGCAAGTCTTTCGGCATCTTTCAGTGTTTCTCACCACAACAGGGATTTTCAAGAGCACCTGCCACATCGATGTGCGTTGGTTCCCGTTTGATGTCCAAAGATGTGACCTGAAGTTTGGTTCCTGGACATACGGGGGTTGGTCTCTGGACTTAAAGGTGATGGATGCAGATATCAGCAATTACATTGCCAACGGAGAGTGGGATCTTGTTGGTAAGTAAGGTTGTCAGTAAAATCATTGAAAATATTTTGCTCTAATCTTTCTCTCCAACTTTCTGTAACCCGTCGGACCACAGTAAATGTATGCCTTGTTTTGAATCAGAGGTTCCAGGACAAAGGAATGAGCATTTCTACGGCTGTTGTGAGGAACCGTACCCTGACGTCACCTTCACCGTGGTGATGCGCAGACGGACGCTCTACTATGGCCTCAATCTTCTCATCCCATGTGTCCTGATCTCTACTCTGGCCCTGCTTGTCTTCCTCCTGCCTGCTGACTCTGGAGAGAAAATCTCCCTGGGTAAAACCAGCTTCATTCAAAAAAAAAAAAAAAAAAAAGTTCAGTTTGACAGCAATTTTTTGTAACACCAGTTTGTAAGAACTGTAATCTCAAGACTTCAATTGCAAAGTTAAGAACCTGCATTATAGATGGAAACCCATCAAAAGTTAGCAAGCAATGGATGCCCATGATACGCTAATGGGAGTCCACATATTAAGAAACTAGCAGGTACGCGGCAACCAGAGGTCATAAAAATTGAATTACATCCAGCTACTTCAGGCAACACCAGGCAAAAAAAAATTCTGATAGTAGAAAAAGGTGTGTCCCATCTTTTCTCAACCCTCAGATGAGTGATTTAAGCAACTACCACAGTTACCTACATTACAGGGTTACCTAGGTAACCGGAGCTTGGAATGTCCACTAACAACAAACCACAAGCGACAAAGACTATGTGAAAGTCCCTTTACTGTACTCACATTACTGAAACCACCATGCATTTTTGGTTATATTGTTGGATACCTGACACACAGTCAGATCCATTTCCTTGTGCTTTTCACCCCTCAGCCTGAAAAGCTGTTTGGGTATTTTGTCAATGCAATAACTCAGGAATGAAGGTATGTGAGATTTTCAAATTGATACAAATGGTACATCTACTAAAAATCTCAGATGAGTTTGAATCTCATTGAATCTTATACCTTCACCTCAAGATAGAAGGTCAAGTTGTTGTTTTTTAAAATCTTTTGAACACAGGAACTCAGAAAGATGTCAACTAGGATTTTCAAATTTATACCAAAGGTGCATTTGCTAGGAGGCCGAAGGATAGCACTGGTGGCAGAATTTTAGAGCAACCACAGAAAAACAACATATTAACTAAGTGGACAGTTTACAGCGAAGACATTTCTTGACTTCTTACCACTGTTTTCTCAGCTGCTATATGTGCTAAAGACAATTGTGAGGTTAGTATTAAATAATAAAGTTGGGGAAACAATGTGATGCCATTATTTTAAAATTACTCCAAAACTCTTTGTCTGCAATATGTTCTTTAAGCAGCAAGTTAATGCATATCACCTCAGTATCACAACCATACTGATAAGTCTGTTAACCAATATTGAAAGCTTTAATCGCACTCTGTGAACACATAGCTAGCGCCAAATGTGGTTCTACTTTTTTTAGACACAATCTACCTAAAGATGTGGCTCTGAATTAAAAATGCAGATAGTTTAGAAACCAGGAACTTCCAAGTTGCACATTTCTGAATGTCACTAATTGCAGTAGTGCTTTTGCAATTAGTGAAAAGATAAAATATTTTCTCCGCCACGCTGAGAAAATTAAAACTTTAAGTTTCTGAGCTACCAAGCAAAGTTACTATGAGTTGAAGACATAACCTTAATTGTAATAGAGTCGAATACAATAATAACCCAGAGCATCAATTCACATTGAGAACAATAAACCCTGTATATGTTTAAACTCACTGTATCAGCATTGTCATTATGAGCTTGCCAATGTTGTTATTTCACTCAAATTACAAATCTGGCAAAGCTACTGATATAGACTCCTTTTTAATATGAATTGATTTGGGATATCACTCTCAGTTGGAATGCATTTTGTTAGTGCAGAAATCCTTGTGCCAATCAAGCCATACGCTACATTATTTTTAAGCTGTCGTATCACCGAACACTAAACTAAAATTCCATTAGCTTCATCTTTTTTTTCAAGATGAAATCGAGATCCATTCTCTTCTGATGAGCTCACCTGGGCAGCTGATTTTGCTGTGGTGCAATATTCCAGATTTATATCCTGCGTGACTCTAAAGCAGCCGTCTGTAATATGCGTTTGTTGCCAGAACCATAAGACGTTATCAATTTAAATTGGGGTTTCAGAGGCATGTCTGCACCTCTGCTACTTAGAGTGTACCTTTCAGACATTGTTTCACCTTTGATACTTCAATTGCCGTGGCATCTTTTTCAGTTAGACTTTAGAGTTTAGGTGTTCTGTTTAGGTCCTGAGTGACCCCAGTATTGTTTCTGCACATCCACCAACCTATTTCTGGACACTGACTTTTCTCGATGATGTGTGCCATCCTCAGGTTACAACGGTAATTCTGTTAAAACATTTTCAATTTTGTTCTTTTGTCCTTCCAAGAAGCTTCAATGTCACAATTATTGTAAAAAAAAAAATCAAATGTTCCTAAACCCCCATGCTACAGAAAGTTTGATCATTTTGTAAACGACCTCATGCTAACGTGACTGTGATCTTTGTGATAACTATGATATGAAAAAGGAAGCAAAATAGCCAAGAATTAATGAGATCATAACCAGGTTACATCATTTGCAGCCCAAGTAGTTTTGACACGCAGTCAAACCTTCTTTCATTATTCTTTAATTTTTCTCCATCTTAGACAACTTCAAAACCACTGCTTACCCATATTCTCTTGGGTAATCAGTGGTTTTATGAAAACCAATGGCTTTCCAGCAATCCTATTGCTCCGTGGCTTTATGAAGTGACCTAATTATAACCACAGATTGACGAACAGAATTGTCAGAAGACCTTTGAAAACCTTTAATCTTATCGCAGTTGTCAGAGTTGCCTGAGTGTTTCATTCATTATATAGACAGTATCTGAGGTGTGTGTGTGTGTACTGCATGTTTCAGTAGAGGCTATTAATTTATGTAGTTTCTGCCTTTTTCAAATGATTAGAGTCCTGTGTTGCAGCTGGATTCCTTCATTAACCAAATGATGCCTAATGTGTGGGCTCACTGTGTGCATTTTCATCTGCATGTTGCTTTTTATGTTTTCAAAGCTTATAGAGGAAAGAGAAATGAGGATTGGGTGTGTGAAGATATAAGTTGCTATGATAGTATGAATTCTTCTTTAACACAAAATTTATTTAAAATTGTTTATGTATAAAAAATTTATATCACTTCAATGTCTCATAGCTTCTTCTTCATCTATGTGTGTGCTGACTATGTCATAAAAAACCACTGTAAATGAAATCAGTATATCTAGTTACCCAACTCAACGTCAGCATTTTTAAGAATGGCGAACACAGAGTGAAAAATGTGTTTTAATGCCAGCATTTATTGCCCGGTTTAATTTCAGTTAAATTGAGCTGCCATGAGAAGTGTGATTTGTGATATTATAAATGGATCAACAGGAACATTATAGTGCATTTAATGGTAAGATGAAAATTTAAGGAAAAAGAACAAAATAGCCAAATAAAATGAAACTAGTTATTTTTTGAATGTTTGAATAGCTAACTGTTTGATATTATGCTATTTAAACTACAGTATGACATTTTTAAGAAAGATTATTGTGTATGTAGTTATGCAAAGAAGAGAGCACAACCCATGATTCATTGCATGACCCAGTTTGGGCTGCTGAACTGATGGCCTCACATCACTGTGCTTGACTCTAGAATACTTGTACATAGAGGAATATATGGTCGATAGTGTGCCCAGGTCCTGTGGCTGCAAAAAACACAGTGCTTGACAGTTGAAATGAGGTGCTTGCGTCAATATGCTGTGTTTGTTTTTCACCGTAGATGGCACTATGGTCAGTTTCCACTTTGGTGTCATCTGTTTAAAGGACATTGTTCCAGAAGTCTTGTAGTTTGTTCAGAAACTTTGAAACCTGAAGCTGTGCTGCCATATAGAAAGAAGAGACTTTCTTCTAGTTATCCTTCCAAGCCACCTATACTTGTTCATTCTTTTCCTATTTGTCATATTTAACACAGTAACTGAGGCTTGTAGTGTGTGTGATGTAGCTCTTGGTTTTTTGCAGTTTCTCTGAGTACTGCATGGTCTGACCCTGGGATGAGTTTGCTGGGCTGTCCACACATAAGTTTGTGTTAAATGGACTGGTTCTTATACAGCGCTTTTTTAGCCTACCTGAACACAACTTTATACAACTTGGCTCATTCACCCATTCATACAGTTTTCCACGTAAGTGCTTTCTATCTAACATTCACACATATTTCTACGTTGACAGATGCATCAGAGAGCAGCTTGGGGTCAGTATCTCGTCCAAGGGTGCAGGCTGGAAAAACCACTAACCTTCCAATTAGTAGATGACACGCTCTACCTGCTAAACCACAGCCACACCAAACACACCTGAGATACCTAAAACACCTGAAGCCTCCAGACCAGCAAACTACCAAAACCTCTGTTTTATAGATGAGCTCACACTTGTTAACAATAGATTAATCAAGTACATTAACGGCATCTGGCTGCTACTTATTTGATCCTCATTCCTGTGTCACTGGCCTGGTCTTTTTCCCTATCTAAGAAATTCAAAAAATAACTTTTGAAGATGTTGAAGAACATTAATACTCTCCTCAGTCCTTCTCAGATTTAAATATTCTTCCCTGATCCAAAGAAAGGACTAAAGTAGCAGTTATGACAAACTCAAGCCGCTTTTAAAGTGTTTCTCAGAGGTATCAAACGCACATGGGCATGCATGGGGGAAGTTGTGAAGTTAGTTAGTCATTAGAGCCAGTGGTGAGGTGAAAATTTGTCTCCCCATAGCTAAAGATACGTGTTGCTCTTGCTTTTACCTTTTCAGGTCATCTTGTGACACAGTGAGGTTTGATCACTCCCGAATTTTGATTTACAGAGATTATATGTTTCAATTTTTCACATTTGACTACTGTGAATTAACCAGTTGCTGTGGAGTAGAATAAACTTTAAAACAAAGCAAAATTAGCAGACTAAAAGAGTATAAGGTGGCACAAATTCATGGAATAAATTGAATGGCTTTGTGCGAAATACGAACAAAATGTGAATAATAGAATAAATCTGGGTACAAAGCAACTGCAAACACCTGAAAATGATAAAACAGTCATTTTAATGTTTACCGTAATACGTCTGCAACAGTACACACAGTTTTCTGCATTTTATTGCTATAATATTAGAGGGTCTTTGTGTCTGTTTGTGACATAACATCCAGCTTATGGTGATTTGTAGCTGATTGAAAGATCAAAAACATACGTGTGTGAATACTTTTGTTGAACTACGTTTTGTTGTCAGCTGATAACTGAGATTTGGTTTCCTCCCCAGGTATTACGGTCCTGCTCTCTCTGACTGTCTTTATGCTGCTAGTTGCAGAGATTATGCCTGCCACATCAGACTCTGTGCCTTTAATAGGTAAGCCAGGCCAAAGTTAAAAGCAGTTCCTATGGATGTCAACTACTATCAGAGAGAAGCAAAGGGTGAAATTTTCTGTAGTCATTTTTCATCAGGGATTTCCTTATATCACAGTGTAGCCAAATTCAAGCAGCTACCCAGTATTTAGATTTCATTTTGGTTTAGGGATCTGAGTCAGTCTGTTTGAATCAGTGGAATGAAAGCACTTCTTCAGGCACATAAGTGAGCAGTAATGCTCAAGGGATGAAGACATATTTGCTGTCCTTAATGATCGGCCCGGCCTTTCTTCTTGTATGCATAACCTTGATGTTATCATCTAGTTTTCTCATTGTTTTTTACTACACAGTACTTCTTTCTGATCCATTTCTTTTTTATGCAGCCGAATATTTTGCCACTACAATGGTCATTGTCGGTCTCTCAGTGATTGCTACAGTTCTGGTCCTGCAATATCATCACCACGACCCTGATGGAGGCAAGATGCCAAAATGGGTGAGTGTTTTCTCAAACAATAATAACTTTTTCGTGAATTTTACTGGCATTATTATTTATGTAGTTTCATTATAGACGCACGCAAAAATATGGAATACATTAAAAACAAGCTGTTGACAAACCTAAATAAAATGCACATTTTTAAGTAATGAATTGAAAAACAAATGCTAGATATAGCAAATATGACACTGATTAAACATATATATGCGAATTCATAAGGGTTAAAACTATATCAAATATAATATATGTAACAAATATAACATAAGTGTATGTAATGTATATATGTATGCAGCAATTATTTTGAAAGATATTTCAGAAACCTGGGAAAGAGGAACAGAATAATCTCTAACAGTTCAAAACTAAGGTTACTAAGAAACAGATTAGTAACATAATTGGATACAAATTCACAGTAATCATCTATAAAGGCCATGCTAGTGCTGAACAATATATAAATTC